ATTCCTGCTTGGGCATGCAGAGACAAGGAGGGACAGGACAGAGGAAGAGCAGAAAAAAAGAAGTAACATTTTTTGGGGGAAAAAGGCTGTGTTTCCAGGCTTGCACCAGAAGGAACCACCATTCACATCCCTGCAGGGATGGGTTGCTGGGTCCTTTCCGGTGAGGCAAAACTTCCTGCTGTTTTGCTAGCGATCAGGTAGGCCCCAGAGGCCATGCCAAGGAAGAATCCAGTGAGTGGCAGGATTGGGAGGCAAAAACTAGGTGGGAAGGGGATTGGCAATGATGCCAAATGATGGTGGAGCTGGGATCGGTCCCAGTTTTCTCACCATAAAAGCCCCACTCCCAATTCACTGCTGGAAGCATCTCTTGCACATGACTTTTAACCAAGCAAGTGATAAGCAAAGAACCAGAAATAGAGGGAAAGAATGGATAAATTAAAAATGGATGGGCTGAGCCAGCCCATCCCAGGCCAATAGTATGCTCCAGTGCATGGAAAAGTTTAAATTAGCGTCATGGTAACAACTCTGGTTGTACCTCATCCATTTTTAAAAAGGGTAGAAAGGAGGATTCTAGAAACTACTGATGAGTCAGCTTGACTGATCTGGTGGCCTTCTGTGATGGTGTGACTGCATTGGTGGGTAAGGGGTAACTGATGTCATCTGCCTGGACTTCTGTAAGGCCTTTGACACCGTCCCATATAACATCCTTGTCACTAAATTGGAGACATGTGAGTTTGATGGATGGGTGTTGGATATAGCACTGGCTGGGTGGCTGCATCCAAAGAGTTGCAGTCAACAGCTCAATGTCCAAATGGAGATCAGTAACAAGTGATGTCCTCAAGGGTCCATACCAGGACCAGTACTGTTTAATATCTTCATCAATAACATAGTGGGATTGAGTGCACCCTCAGCAAGTTTGCGGATGACACCAAGCTGGGTGTGCAGCAGGTACGCCAGAGGGAAGAGATGCCATCCAGAAGGACCTTGCCAGGCTTGAGAGATGAGCCCATGTGAACGTCATGAGGTTCAACAAGGCCAAGTGCAAGGTCCTGCACCTGGGTTGCGGCAATCACCAATATCAATACAGCCTGAGGGATGAAGAGATTGAGAGCAGCCCTGCAGAGAAGCACTTGGGGGTACTGGTGAATGAAAAATTAGACATGAGCTAGCAAGATGTGCTTGCAGCCCAGAAAGCCAACCATGTCTTGGGCTGCATCAAAAGAAGCGTGGCCAGCAGGTCAACGGAGGTAAGTCTCCCCTTCTACTCTGCTCTGGTCAGACCCCACCTGGAGTACTGCATCCAACTCTGGGGCCCCAACATAGGAGAAGGACATGGACCTGCTGGAGGAAGTCCAGAGGAGGGCCATGAAGATGATCAGGGGGCTGGAGCACCTATTCTATGAAGACAGACTGAAAGAGTTGGGGTTGTCCAGCCTGGAGAGGAGAAGGTTCCAAGGAGACCTCATTGTGGCCTTTCAGTACTTACAGAGGGCTTATGAGAAAGATGGAGAGAGACCTTTTACCACGGTCTGTAGTGACAGGACAAAGGACAACTAAAAGAGGATGGGTTTAGACTGGACAAGGGAGAAATTCTTTAAGATTAGGGTAGTGAGACACTGGAACAGGTTGTCTAGGGAAGCTGAGGATGTCACATTCCTAGATGTGTTCAAGGCCAGGTTGGACAGAGCTTTGAGCAACCTGGTCTGGTGGGAGGCGTCCCTGCCCATGGCCGGGGGGGCGTTGGACTGGATGATTTCTAAAGGTCCCTTCTAACCCAAATCACCCAATGATCCTATGATCTCATTATATCAGGATTGTATTGGTGGGATGAACCATGATGGTGCAGTAGGTATTGCAGATATCTCTGCATTTAGCAAGTATGAAAGTGATTAAAATTCTACGTGGCAAGAAGGGGCTTTGTGTGCACGTGTGTGCTAGGTACCTATCCTACTTGCAGGTTGTACTTGCTGGACACACTAAAATCTAGTAATGCATTTCAGCAGTAGTAGTAGGTGTGACATGATCTAGTCTAACAAGATGCTCAATTTACTCAGTATCACAGTATCATGCAAAAGCTGCTACAAAAATAAATTTCTCTACAAAGGGAGAAAAAATCTTTTGTTTTTTTTTAACACTGTGGAACAAGCCACAGGTGCGTTGATGGTGATTGAAACTGTATCTAAGCTGCAGTCCGTGAATCCTGAGTACTTCCCAGGAAAGCTGAAGCTCAGCTCCCATGAGAGCAGCACAGCAGGGCTGTGCAGTCCCACCTCTGCTCACACAGGGGGTACCTGTGCCACTGCACCCCAGGGTGAGAGAGCTGCCCTCCCCAAAGCGCTCCCACACTCTTGGGGCAGGCTTTTTACCCCAAGCTGAATAGAAAAGCTACCCACAGATCTTCTTTTTCCTTAGTTAAATTATGTTCAGGTATATTTTTCTCATGTTTTCTAGTGGTGCCCATGAGAACCCTGCAGCCCATCCCACCCCAGCGGCTCCTCAGCCTCGCCACCCCCGTGGGTGGGGAGCACCCCAAACCTGGGTGATTTTTTTTGCTTCTAGGCAGGGAAGTTAAAGGTAGTTTAGCCACTTTTTTTCAATTAATCTTAAAAGTGCTCTGTAAGTTTGGGTAAGCTTTAGCAATGTAAAACGATATATGTGGAAGGAAAGAAATTCTGACCTCATTTGTGCCCATGTGGTCCACTGTGCTCTATTTGGTGTTTCAGATGGGAGGAGGCTGGAGCCTTAGCAGGCACCCAGTGTCTCATCCTAATACTGCAGACCTCTTGGCCAGCAAAAGTCAAGGATGAACAACTTATTTTCTCCTTCTTCCTTATGGGACTTAAAATAAATCAAAATGGGCAGGAACCGACAACCAGAGATTCTGATTGTATCCAAACCAGGACAAGGTAAAACAAGTTAAGATCTATCTAGGATTTAAAGACACTAAAATTGACACGTTAACCAGTAACCTCTATCAAATTTGCTAAAACTCTCAGATTTCTCATCTCTAGCCTAGCTCCACTTACAATATCGATGCTAAGAGTTAAAAAGCAATGACTGGTATGCGTATCTTTTCTGGTGTTCGATGTAAAGGAGAGGGTTTTGAAGGCAGTACTGTCTCAGAATTTCAAAGTCGCTGGTGTTCATGTTACATAGAGTACCACTTGGTGGTCATTTGGAAGGCGCTTCTACTTCTGTGTAACTTTCTTCTAGGTTGGGTATAAATATTCCTGGGAGTCTAAACAGAAATGTGTTTTGTTTAGATACAAGTCTTAGGCACGAGTTAGAAAACTGCTGACTGTAATGAAAATATATCAGCACTTCGTAGTATCCAATAATATAAAAAATGCAATTCAGAACATCTTCAACTACATATGTATGTGTGTGTGTCTATATATAGGTATAAGGGTACCATACATACATGTATATAAACACAAACACATATACAGAAATATTCACGACTCGAACTGTATTTGTAACTGACCTGAAATACTGCAGCGAAAGTTCATTCTGATGAACCATTAATATGGTATTTCCATCTTTTGGCTCTAACCATAGTTAAAATGTTAGCACACTGAACTAAACATTTTGCTATCTTAACTTTCTGCTGTCCTAGCTTTTTTTGCTACCCTAATCAACATGTCAGAACCAAGAGCTCCTATATGGGGACTATAAGAGTACCCTGCCTATGCGAAGCTATGCAGCTACTGAGCATGCTTGCAACCACGAACCCTGTGCGCCTGTTGATGGTAATGCTTCCTTGGATGGTCACATTTAGCAGGTTGGAAATGCGTAGAAGGCAGGAGACCTTCAGCGTGCAGCTGCCAAATCATCGCCGCAGGGTTCGGACTTTTGCTGGAGAGGAGTTCCCTGATGAGCAGCGATAGAAAGAAGTGGGCGATGTGGGTGGGAGTTTCACGGGACTCACAGCATCTCCCTCCTGCAGCTTCCAGAGGAGCTCTTCATTAGTCCTGCTCAGCTTCTTCTTCTCCTCCACTTCTTTCTCAACGTATTCTTGAAGATTAGCATTCTCCTCTGACAATTGCCTGGAGAGGGAAGCAGGACAACATGTAAGGCACACCAGAGCAAAGATGGCATTAATGCAGCCAGCGCTATACAAGAGGCAGGGCCAGGGAGGAACCTGAGCACCCCATCCCATCCCATCCCATCCCATTCCCCTGCCCCTAGGGCTGCAACTGAGCTGTCCAAGCCGGGGCACAGCTGTCCCTGGGTCTCTTCACTGCCGGACGAGAAAGGCACCTCCACAAGCCACAGATGCCCCTCAGTGTTTGACTTTGCCACCAGATGTGCCTGTGTCATTGCTTTGTACCTCTCCTAAACTGCCACAGCTTAGGTAGGATGAGCCCCAGCCTCCCTCTCTGGCTTCATGCAACTGTCAGCACCATGCAGAGCACGCAGAGGTGCCAAGGGCTTTGTACATTGACCACGTGCTCCAGACACTTTAGAATTGGCCATTTTCCCATGCAAACAACGGAGTAAAAATTGGAAATTCCTAAAAGAAAAATTTAGCATATTTGTTTCTTTATTTGTATATTTGAAACTGGCAAAAATGCAAGGCTGCAGTGCACTGCAAGAGGATCCTCCACTCATGGACAGGGAGGAGGGAGAGGATGAAATTCAGGCTAAGATAAAGTTCAACTGCGCCCTCACCTTCCTCCAGCTCTTGCCTTCCCTGGGAGAACATGGGTTTGTGAGCAAGGTGAAAGCTGGAGAGTGACCCATTGAACCCCATGGTGGGCAAGCTGAGCTGCAGAGCACACCACCGCCATGCCAGCCCCACATTTATGCCCAGCCTTGGCCACCGGTGTCTCAAGTGGACTTCAGAGCTGGTCCCAGATGCTTAGTTTGGGGATGTAGGTAGGCACAGTGGTTTCAGATGTTCTCTTCTCATCGATATTTGCTTGTGGCTGTGTTGGTTCTCCCCCCCCGCCCCTGCCCAGGGAGCTACCATGCAATGAAGCTAATCAGGGTGCTACCTCCTCCTGTTCAGCACATGGAGGAAGCAGGTGCCCAGCATGGATCTGTGGTCTCTGTTTGCACAACCTGTTCACAGGCACAGCAGTTTCTACAGGGAATGTGCCTATAGACCTCTGTGAAGCCAAACCCACCCGAGAGGAGCCCAGAGTCCTGGGTCAGTGGGCACTTGTGCTCCTCTTGGCCAGGGCTTCTGTTCCTGCACCAGGAGGAAAGGGGCTTCAGAGATCAACCCACCATGGCCTGCCCCAGCAATGGCACCCCTGCGAAAAACCAATAAGCAGCACAAAGTGCAAGTGGACTCCTTAATCCTGCTTTCTTCCCAGCTTCAATGCCTGGCTCCAGCCACCTCTGCCCTGTGGTGTTTCACAACCCAGAGGTGCTTGCAATGCTGCCCCATTTTCTCCAGAGCAGCACAGCAGCTGGAGCCGTCCCCAGAGGGTGATAGTCCTGGGTTTTGGGGCACCTTCTGCCTGACTGAGGACAGAAATCCAAAGTCCCAACTCTGTGGACGGCTGTAGGTCTCAACCCTTGTTTCTCAACCCTGTCATCAAAGCTGTGCCATGAACGAGAGAGCAATTGTGGAGCAACAGAGCAAGACCAAATAGGTGAGGAAAAGCAATTGCAGTCCCTGATTCTTCAAACCAACTGCTATTACACACAAAGGGGAAGTCTGCGCTCTCCATGCTTCTTGTTTTAGCTGATACTCTGATGTGGGATGTAGTTCCGCTTCGAGACCTGTCCTCCCCTCTGTAAATGGTCATGAAGCTATGGGTTGTTCTGCAGCTCCTTCCTCCTTGGTCCTAACAAACTCTCTATTCCTGACTCCAACACCAGGGAAACTTCCCCAGGAAGGACCAGGGAGGTGTTTTCCCCAGAATACCCTATAACCCAGTAGCTTTTTGGGAGATGGGACATGGAAATCGCCTATGGAGACTACAACCTCAATGAGACTGCTCTCATCTAACTAGAGGACTGCTTTTAAAAGTAATGGGGTGGGGTGGGGCAGGACAGTGTAGTGCAGGCAGACAGTGGGACTTGATCGAGATGTATTTTGGGCATGTGCTGGCAACACCACGGCCCTGGAGCATGCCTGCAGGAACGCTGGGCTTCTGCAGCCCCATTACACCCGGGCAGGAGCCAGGTCCTGACGTGATCAGCCTGGGCAGCTCTGGGCACGTACCTCACCTGATGTACAGGCAATTTAGGATTTTATAGAAATAATTAGGGAGGTACCTAACCCCGCCGCTCGGTATTTCCAGGGCTCAGCAGCAGCTGGATGTGGGTTTTGGATGCACACATGAAATTCTGCACAATGCCTTTACTGGGTATAGCCTGAAGTTCATAGCAGATGTTGTTGACTGCTTGTCCACTCTGTGTCATCAAAAGTCTCTGAGAGGGTGGGATTGGCATTTTCAATTTAAAAAAAGAAACAACATTTTTAATTAATTTCTGTTTTATCAGCCTTGGTTCCTACAGAAATGGAGCTCAGGTGATGAAGAATATGTCTGTTCTGCCCCCTCCTGAAAGTTTTGAACCTTGAAGCAGCACTAGCAGAGTTGAAGGATTAAAAGACACAAGTTGGCAGAAGTTTTCAGAAAGCTGCTTGCCTGGTGCAGGAGGTCCCATTGGGGAACCAGCTGTGGCACAAGCTCACTGTCTCACAGGCATGACAACGTCCACATGGGAGCTCACCCTGAAGAAATAACTCCACAGGAAGCCTCCTGCTGCACATGGAATCACTTTTTCTTTTGCAGTGTCTAACCAGACAGGCCATAAATGTTCTACACAAAGCCCCACTACATCCTTTTCCAGCCAGCAAACCTGCTTTGGCACTCAGATGGAGGGAGGAGCTGCTGCTTGTTGCACTGCTTATTTTACCCTCGGGCACATTGCTCTGGGAATTTACCCTGTCCTCCCTGACATGAGGTGACAGGACACCAGCAGAGCCAGCTTCATGGCACCCAGAGGCAGCTTGCACAGGCAGCAGTGCCCACATCCTTCCCAAAGCCTCTGCCTTCAGCGCAGCCAACCTGCGTCTGCCTCTGCTGCGCCATGGGCAGGGAGATGGACAGACAGTATTGCTGCTTGCAAAAGATACAGATGCCCATTCTGCCCCTCTTCATCGTTCAGGCAGAATAAGGAAGAGAGGCAACTTAAAAGCAAATGTGTTCTCTTTGTAAGTTTGTATCTTGAGATATATGTTCCAATTTTAGACCTAACCCATCTAGGGAAACCTTTATCCCCAGCACTGCAAACTTGTGATCAGATGTGTTCCTCTGCCAGCCTCCCAGCAATTTAAACAGCTATAGCAAATCACAGCCACAAAAGCACAGGTCTGGCAGGGGCACACCAATATGGTAGAGATGCATGGGAAGGTGCTTGAATCATGCTCTCAACTTACATTAAAGTCTCTTTCTCAAAAGACCTAAAGTTCAGTAGGTGCCTGGGCTATGCCAACAGAGACCAGACACCCTCCTGGTCATCTTCTTCTCTAGGGTGCTGTAAACTGCCATTCCTCAAACACTCCCAGTCCAAAGGACTAAAAAATGCTTGTTGATTTGGAGGGAGAATCCAAGATGTTGAGAAATTAGACAATTTATTCAAGTGCTCTGGGAAGTAGAGGCTTTGTGGAGCTCCTGTGCCCAAAGCTGGTGCATGATCTACCTGCAAGGCTCTTCTCTCTTCCTTTGTGTCTGTCCTTGGCTATAACTGGAAATATCTCTGAGGTGCACTCCTCAGCCCACCGATGCCTCCAGGACCCCCTTCCGGCCGTGCTGCAAAGGTTGGCTTTGCTCTGGCTCCCATCCCTCCTGTTACCCCCAATACTCTCGCTGCTGCTGGGCTGCCTATGCCACATGGGCACCCAAACTGCAAATCAGCAGAAAAAATTCAAATCTCTGCTGTGGCCCAGCAAGGGCAGCTCCCCAAGCTGGAGTGGCTACTGCTGCCAGGAAAACCCAGGTTTTAATAACTCCAGCTTTAAAACCCACCTGACAGTGTCCTTATACCTGTCCCCAAACTGTTATTGTTGAAAACAACTGTCCCCTAAGTTGACTTTCCAGGCTGACTTAAAATTCAGAATTTCTCCTGAAAGATGTTATCCAAAGCCAGTATGTCCATGGTTACAGGAAGCAGCAAAGCTGCACAGGCAGGCAGTGGAGGGTGCTGTTGGCCCAGCCAGAGGCAGGCAGCTGCGATGCAGAGGCCAAGCCCCAAAGCAGGCACCCTGGCTGCTGTCACAGGCCTGGAGAGAGACTGCTACATCCAAATCACAATTCACCCATCCCAAAGGCAGGTGTCTCAAACTGGTCTGGTAAACTAGACCTTAAAAATACCTGGTTTTCCTCCCCAAGCACAGACAGGCTGTAGACACCCACCTCATGTGACATGTGTGTTATGGGTATTTACAATCAGGTGAGATGAAACGGAACCCTCACCCCAACCTGAATGTTAGCACAAGCAAACTTGCCTTTTTAAAATACCTACATGACAATTTTTAAAAGGCTGAATCATTAATAAAGGAAGAAAGACAAAAACTAAAATTAAATAAGAGGTGAGATGCTGAAGCTTTAAAATGTCAGCTAAAAATTAAATTGCATTTTAGGCCAATGGCATAATTTCTGGCATCAGTGACAGCTGATGTGCGGGGACAAGTTCAACTCTAGCATCTTCCTCTGGTACCCCTTCTGCCTGGCTCCAGCTGTGGTCCCTGCCTCACTATAAATGACAGGGACTGTCCTACCCTTCTTTTTCTATGCCAACTGACACAAGGAGCCTTGGCACCCTTGTCAGGTTGTGACAAGGGTGCAAACAGATAGTGCAGATAAAAAAACTTACCAAAGGATTACTCTGCCTGGGTGACAGTGGCATCATTAGGATGTGTCTCCTGAAACAGGCCCTGATGAATGGGTCTGAGGGCACTGATGCTGAGATCAGAAGCCTCTGGCAACTTTGCTCTCAGCAGCATGGCAAAATCATCAAAATACACAGACAGATATGTGGCTTTCCTTGTGCTAAATAAACAAAGCCCAATAGACAAAGGATTTTTTTTAATAAAACAAGCAGATCAGGACAACAATACACTTTCAGGGACTAAGTTTTTCCCTTTCTGAAAGAAGTGTCAGCCTGAGGCAGTTAAGATCTGCAGTCTCCTTTCAAACTCAGACAGATTGAAAATATCAGCACAAACCTTGTTATGACAGTATTTTGCTCAATCCTGGCTCTGAGTTCTTCATTCTGCTGTTGCAGCATAGTGATTTTTTCTTCCAGTTTTAAATTTCTTTCAGCCTGCAACGAGAGAAGGTTTGTTAAGTCTGAAGAAAGACCAACACCTGATCCAAGAGGATTTGTTCTTTATCTGTATTTGTCCCTAGAGCAACTTCTAAAATTTAAGGATAGATGGAGGTGGTCGTCTTGACTGCAGCTGAGATTTAGAGGTCTGACTCACACCGTATCATACTGGTGAAGTAAGTGGGGTCATCAGCAGAGCATTGAGCAGAGGCAAAGCTGAATGAGACCTTGCTTGTGAGAAGGAGGGTCTTGGTCTTGTCCAGTGCAAATAAAGCAACTTCTTTGGTGATGCCTCCACAGCTTCCATCCCTTAGGAGTAAGCGTTACCCACGCTGTTGTGGCCAGGGAGCTGGTGGCACTTGTGGAGCATGGGGATGACCAGCATGGAAAGGGCACTGCGGTGTGAGTGGGCAGTCTAGTGACAAAGGAGGAGTGCGAGAATGTGTGATGTGCATCATCCAGCTCAGCTAACCTCATCGGACATAAATGTCTGGCATCCAACATCTGGGATTGTGATTCCCTTGATATGGGGAAGAAAGAGTTACTCATCAGGGCAGATGACGCCCAGCAGCAGCCTTAGACTGCCTCTGCATTCACATCAGGTGGGCTGCCCTTTGGAGACACTTCACTTGACTGCTGACAGTGTCGGCTTAAATAACAGGCTTAAACTAGACATTTAACTTCGAGCTACAATTAAGTGAAATCAATCCTAACTCAAGCATTGGTAATTTTTACTCAGGACAGGTCAAGCACAGAGTTTGAGGATGTCAATAGCAGTGTACAAAGCATCAGTAAGATGTGTATGGTCATGTACCACTGCTTCAGATGCCCTGTTTTTCCCAAGTTTTGAATTTGACTTACTTTATCACCTTAGCTCTTGGTTTTCCAGCAGTTTGAATTTTGCTGAATTAAGCACTTTTGGAGGAAAACAAGATATCACAGGGTAACTTTATCTCCGTGTGAGCTCGGTTATTGAATTTCCCAACTTTTTATAAAGAATCAAATTATTGCGCACTGGAGGTAGCAATACCTCACACTTTGTGGCAGAGGCATCAGTTTTTTGCAGTAGTTTCTAATCTATGCAGGTAGCTGTTTCTCAGGTATTCTGGCCTATCCCCGTACATTTTGTCAGAGTATCACAGGGTAACTTTATCTCCGTGTGAGCTCGGTTATTGAATTTCCCAACTTTTTATAAAGAATCAAATTATTGCGCACTGGAGGTAGCAATACCTCACACTTTGTGGCAGAGGCATCAGTTTTTTGCAGTAGTTTCTAATCTATGCAGGTAGCTGTTTCTCAGGTATTCTGGCCTATCCCCGTACATTTTGTCAGAGCTGACCCCATTTTGAAATGCTCTGAGAGAGGAATCACCATCACAGGCACCTTGCTTCCTCAGTAGTTTTAATAAGTAGTAGCTATGTCAACATGAAGCATGGGAGAAGACCTGTGGATCTCCTTCCCTCTCCACTGCAACCCTCACCCTATACCACTCTTCTCCTGCCACCTTCAATTCCAGTCCCCCTTCCAGCAGACAAGCAACCAAGGATTTGGTTGGTTTTTTTTTTAATTCAGTGTAACACTGCAGTGCATGTTTTCAGATGCTGGCTTAGGTCCAGGAGCAGCATGTTGCAAGGAGCACAGTTGACAAGACTCAGTTGTAAAGAGGCACTTTTCTCTACATCCACTTACTCAAGCATCTGTTCAGCAATATAATCATCTGAGTTCTCAAATTTCCCCGTAAATGGAAACAAATCTTGCTGAATGCTGTGCTGAACCAGCTGTCCCGGCTCCCCAGATGAGGTAGTGCCTCATCCTGTCACCACACTATCCATTTACTGTCACTGGAGGTCATGCCTTACAAAACGAATCCCCTCTCCAACAAAAAATGTAACTGAGAGTGAACTTGGAGCAAAGGATGAGAAAACAGCATAGGCTGCAGAAAAGCATTACTTTAAGGTTAGAAAGAGCTTTCAGAGCCGAAGCCTTGCTAGGGACTGCTTGCTGAACATTGGTAATTCATACTTGTGGCTGGGAGCTCCCTAAATGCCTGCACAAGTAGCAGCAGGATGCACAAGGCTCAGTCTTCCTCCACTTGCCCTCTTCAGCCCTAAATGGTTACCTGACTCCTGTAGGGGTGTATGGTGCAGGCTGCTGTACAAAATGAAGCCCTGGAAGCCCCAAAGTTCCCCTTCCTCCTTTCTCCCTACACCACTCACCTCACTGTCTGACGCAACAGGCTGAGCAGGTATTGCATGATAAAGCAATACAGATCAATGAAAGTTTAGGAGAAATCAAGGGTATCATGGGTAGGTGAAGGGATGGGAAAAGCTCTCAATTTCTGAGTGAAAACCTGAGACATGGTATAGTAGAGGCAGCTATGTAGGCTGACAGTGGTACAACACAATATATAGCCATTTATGAACCTCTTTGACTGTGTCTTGCCCAAACCTCATGTGTTTTCTCATCCCTTTAAAGTTCATCTTTGTAACCAAACTTTTACTTTGCTACCTCTGTAAGGAAAAGTGACAACTCACCTGCTTTTCTAGCTCCATAATCATCTTCTCCTGTTGGTGAATCTGAAGGTTCTTCATTTCCAGAACATGTTTTAAGCTTTTTAGATCTTTTTCTACGTGCAGATATGGAGCTCGTACAATCTAGGAAATATAACAGCCATAAAAGCATCTTCAGCCATAAGATAAAGTTTCCTTAATGTGCCCAGTGGTTTAGGAGTCTCAGTGATGTGAAACGAACCTGGACCTGAACATCCCCACCCCATCTGAACCCTGATACTGTCTCCTAGACCATCCCTTTGGCTGCATAGCCAATGGTATCTTTCTTTTGACCAGCCTCATGGCTAGAAGGATGGGATACTAGAGTCTTCAGCAACCCCATTCCTACTCATATCTTGGGAACTGCATGAGGTGTTTTGTGATTGTGCAGAGATTTTGGCTTGGGAAAAGTACAAACATGAAGCTGAGGAAAGGACAGGAGGGCTGGAAATTAAAACTACAGTGTTCTGCCTCGCCTGCCCCACTGCATCACAGGGCCTGTTAACAAGATCAGGTCTGGTGGGAAGACATTGCTCCTCTGCTCGAGAACTTCAGATGTAGGGGATACAAAGGTGCAGCTCATGGGTGAAAGATGTGCTCTGAATTATCCTGATGAAATACTGCTGCTGACTTAAGCTGTTCTGGGTTTCTCCCAGTGTAAATCACTCCAGTGAACTGCCTGGTATTACTTGGCATTAACATCACTGTGACACAGCAGAATTTGTCCTTTCATATAAATGAAATACTGCAGCAGAGGTGGAAAGAGACTGATGCTACCTGTTTCCCATGGTCAAGCCTCTTTCAAACATTTGCACTATTTCCTAAGGAGTTCTCTCACCTAAAAGCCCACCCCACTATTGTCATTGACTGTCCCCTCTGTCATGCTGATACAACTGCCCATGGAGTTGTGTTGTGAACACAATTAAACACCCCAAGTTAAAAAAAACCTCATTTGCAGTAAACAAACAGCATGTCCCCAATAGAAAGCAGTTGAATAAATATTTCATATGACAAGGCTGTCCTCCTCAATTGGGGCCCCCCAATCTCAAGGATAAGGATACCACAGCTATCCACCATATCACATGATATGAGCAATACTTAGAAACTCATATTTTGACAACTGTACAGTTATAGTTGCCATCTACCTTCAGTTGTTCCTCAGTGTTTTTCTTCAGAGCCTCTTCAAATCGGTCAGCTTTGGCCTTAAGAGATTGGTTCTGGAAGGTGAGTGTGTCTATCTGGTCCTGGAGGAGGAACACACCAATGAACACACCAACTGTGTTATCTTACTGTGAAACCACCAGGGGAGTTGAACAAGACTTAGAAACCCCTGCAAGTTAGTATTTTTCACGTAAGACCACTTGAACATACAGTGGGGTTTTTGATAACCCAGCGCCTTGGGGAATCCTGAAATCTCTGCAATGCCTGCAGCTGGTTGACACTGGCTGGCACTAGTTCATGCAATGTCCTTGGTGCTAAATCACCCCATCATCTTGGGCTGGATGAGAATGAACCTGTCCTTCCTTAAGAGAGCTGGCATTTATACCACAGGCATGAAAGAGATCACTTGTGTGGTCCCTAGAGTCTGAATGTGGCAGTAGATACCCCATCCCTGCTTCCTTCACCTTTCTGGGGTTCTAACATGGTGACAAGCAATGAGGAGTTAATGGGGTGTACTGTGAATGACTGTAATTTCATCTCAGAGCTATACACAGGAACAAAATGTTATTTTAAGTAATCATACTTCTGCTACCATCAATGATGTTCCTGTTACCTCTCTATATACAACATCTGTAAAAGCCACAGTTGCTGTGAAACTGGTATTCTTTTCTTTTGTATACGTAATCTCGTGGCTACTACATTACATCTGTGCTTATTGCGAAATTGCTGACATGCCTTGGACTGTCACAGGAAGGCAGTAGCAGTTGTTATGTGCTACACTATGTACTACTCAGGGTTTTTAAATATTATAATTCATCTCTGCCTATGAAATCCGACATTATTTGCTATGGTGTCTTGTTCAGACAAGATTTCCAAGCTTAGCATGAATCACAGGGGCATACTTCTGCCCTCCTTGGGATTTCTTCATCTAGAGAGAGAGAACAGCATGGACTTATTTAAAGGATTGAAAAAGCCAAGATGATCTTGAGCTCGGTGTTAAATAGTGAGGTGCGGGAGATGTGATGTTCAGGGCTGACCCTGGCTGACCATAGCCTGGCTGCACATCAGGGCCAGCCCTGAAATATGCCTCATCAGGGACTGGCAGGAATGGAAATGTGTCTACACAGTGGGACTGGATCCCCCACATTCAGGCAGCAGTGAAGAGTTTAAAGCACAGGGCCAGGCAGTTTCTGAGCCCCACGGGTGCCTGCTAGAGAGTACCATGTAAACAAAGTGTTGCTCACAGCCATTGCCAGGGCCAGAGCTCTCCGCACCATGTGGGAAGAGCTCAGCTTCGCTCCTTGTGCTGCGCCAGCAGTCAGCAGGGTCAAAAGAACATTGCTTTGCATTGTCCAGCTGCCTTTTCCTCCCTTTAGGTTTGCCCTCTCTTCACTTTCAGATAGTATTTTGCTGAACCAGCGAAGGAGGAGGAAAAACCCTGAGAGGGTACATTTGCTGCTAGATCCCAGTTTGGACAGGCAGAGGACGTGAGGTACTACAGCTGGTAAGCAGCAATGGCCTGGGGTGGTGGCAGCTGACAACAGGGCTGGGGCTGCCCCATCGGCAGCTCTGCTACATCCTTATAGGGGTGGGAAATAATAAAACTGCTAACCTGGAGTGACAGACGTAGTTTTTCAAAATTCTCTTCTAATTGTGCCTTTTCCAGTTTGTGAGCAGCATTCAGTGCTGAGGAAGACACACAGACATGACATTGCTAAGTGAAGTCCAGCAAACCAGGATCTGAGAGCACAGACATCGTGAGCCAAGCACAGTTAAGGACGCAGCTCAGGGCATGGAGGTTGCATAGGAAACTGGTAGTAATATACTCTGTGTCCTTAGGTGAATTGCTTTGAGGATCAAGATTTCCTGACCTTTCACTGGTTGCAGGTACCTCTATTTCTGCATGACCAGTTTCTGAGGTTTTAGAATAGCTCAGTGTTCCCGGCTCTCAGAGGCTCTGATCTGAAAAAGCTCAGTCTGACAACGGGTAATTTATGAGTTCAGAGTGAGTTCCCCCAAATCAAAGACCTGTAAATTAGATATATGTAAAAGCTTGGGTTGCCGTTCCTCTGGGGAGCTAGAGGAATGGGGGCAGCAACTCAGGTGCAAAACTACAAATGATGGTGACTCTCCAGGAGCTGTGAAAGGTGACCTGTGAGGTTTATTCTGTTAGTGAGATTGACGGAGCCCGAAGACACAAAAGTCCTCTTTTTATATTATAGGTTTTACTACCAGAACAACTCACCCTGGACTCTAATAATCGCCAAAAGTTTAATAACCCAAGTGGAATAAAGTTTAATCTCTAAACCAGTAGCATCAAACTGTCATTCATTATAGTAGTAGTAGCTACCTTTTTAGTATATGGACACTTTATTTTTTCATGTCTTTACCCTCAACCCCATGGGGTTCTGCCCTCTAGCCATTGCTCACCAGTCACAATACCAGCAGGAGTAATACTGATACTCCAGTGCCCTGTTCAGCGCTCTGAGCTACAGCTGCTGCAATGCCTTTTCCAGGCACAGGAGGGCATTTCAGACCCACACCAGGAGCTGGGTGCACAAACTTTGACCACCAGAGCCTTGATAAACCACAGTCATTTTATCATCAGAAAAATACTAACAAAAATGGACAGATAAGAATATCCTCAATAAAGAAACAACTTTTTAATTATTATATTCAATATTGCATATGTTACTATAAAACTAATATGCTAGATACCATCTCTGCCTACAGGAGAGGGAAACAGACTGTGCTCAGCTCTCGGTGTGCTCTGGACTGTGTCTCTGATTGACACAGTGCAGAGCTAAGCAATATGGCTTGGTTTGGGGAAAGCTGTGGGAAAACCTACTAGAGCTATTTAAAAATTAGACCCTCATGCTTATGTGCTAAAAAAAAAAGAGGGAGATTGTACAGGTAACTGTTAAACATCAGCTAAAGCATGTACAAAAATGTGTTTAGATACTGAACTGGTAGGGAGGAAACAGCTCTGCCTGCAGTATCAATTCCCATCGAAAAAACATAACACAAAATAAAGGTAACAGTACTGAGGCACTAACACCAGTGTACGGCTCTGGTCTGCTCCGCACGGCCAAACTTTTGCTACTGAAAATGATGAGTGCTGGTTTCAGAAGTGGTGCAGGCACTTAAGCACCTGAATTCAGAGGTGTTTGATGAGCTCTAGCCTCCTGAGCTCCCATGGATTAGGCTCTTGAAAAAAGTCTGTGTGGGAAGTGAGGTAGAATTTGGACTCTGTGGTCAGTGACCCATGGACAAAGCATTGTCTTTGACCCAAAGACCTTTCAGGTGATCTGAGGTACAAGTTGGATGTCGTATGCACTGTACACAGCTCTCCTTCACCCATATCATGAACCTGGTGGTCCACCCCATGTGAAAGCATTAGACCAACACAATCTTTCTGTACCATCTGCTCTGGAGGAAGAAAATCCAGGCTTACATAAACTCACTACGGTGCTAATTCCTGCTCTGGAGTAGTTCTGTAGTCATTGGGTTGTCTTTGGCTTACCTTGAATCTTGCAGTCATTTTCATCCTGCAGCACCGTAATGGCGACTATGTGGTTATTCTCCAGCTGCAACATTGCAGTGTCATGTACAGCCGTGATATCTTCCACCTGTTCCAATAACAACGAATGGAGACATGGGCACACGATTAGACATGCTGTGGCACACTGATGAGCCACTTCTAGAGAGCTCCACTGAGCTGGAAACAGAAAAGAGATCTACTGAGCATGACACTTCCAGGACCTGGGCCAGTTTTATTCATTATGAAACAAGTGTGTTAATACCTTGAGTGGTAGAGTGTAGTCACCGCTGCTAGCATTTTTGTTCTTTTAACTTAATGGCAATAAAAGAGGTACAAAAGAAAGCAAAAGGCCTTAAAGCTCTTAAGCAATGAAGCCATTTATGAAATCTTCAGAAATTTCAACATTCCATTAATCTGAATGATGTTAATGACCCTACTCTCTCTGATGGTCAGGTAAACATGCACAGTTCTCAGCCACCCTGGTTTTTGTCTTCATGGCAATTTGCTACAATGATTTTTACTGTAAGGTCTTGAATTAACTTCCATGTAAAGTGTCAATGAATTATTCACACCTGTAAAATATTATTTCTAGAGAAACATTGAAATTATTAGCAGTGGGTATGTAAAATGAATTGCAATCTATCACACTTTTATATGAAAAACAGTATCCTACATAGTCATCAACACTCTAATTCCTATGTCCTCTCAAATAATGTATTTTGAGTCCACATCCAATAAGCTAATGAAAGATGTGGCAACTCATTTTTTTAGTGCAGACACAAGAGTTTCCAGGCTGGTGTGGAAGTAACCTAGATGACAATGAAGCCATAAAACCTTTTCCTGCTCTCATGTTGAGGTCAGAAAGCTGCCCTGCTGCTGCAGGCTACCCACTGCACCCCACACTGCAGACAGCCATCACAGGAGCAGGGGACACAATTGGAGGAGGGCTGTTTTCAGCCTGTGCTCCTGTGTGCCCAATGGGTCTGGGACTCCTTCAGTACATTATTTGTTATTAGACTCGGCTAAAGGCAAAGTGAGATCCCCAGTGATGGTGTTTTGATATGTGTCATTAACGAAAACACAGTGAGAAGCGGTGATCAAGGTTATGCCAGTGGTCCAGAGCCATTTCTGAATGCAACACATCGATTTGCTTTTCTGGGTTTTGTAATCACAGTGATCTTATTCCTTACATTTAACACATTATCTGTGATGCCTGGCAATGCAGAGGATCCAACTATTTTACAATGAAACAGCTGTTCATTGCAAAGTGACTTGACTTTAAACAGCTTTTATGCTCACTGCTATGTTAAAATAATGGTAGAAAGACTCTGCAGCTGAGAGCATTTTGACTAGAATAAATGCTGTTTCCCTGAATTTAACTGTGAAATATATATGTTAGATTATCCAACAGAAGCAAAATTTCAAACGACATCGGAGAAGGCATGCTTTTAGGACGAAAGATGGGCATTTAACGTGGAATTTAAAATTATCCAAACTCATTTTCATAATCATGTGGGAGACAACTCAGTGGTGAAGAACTGTTTGCAAAACAATGGAGACTCAGCTTGCTGATAGATTGCCTGAAAGAGCAGGGAAAGGGGGACTGGATGACTCAATGGGCTACTAATGGGGTAGGGACTATCGCTTGCCTTTTCTTAGAGCACCATGTCCTTGTACATGATGTCTGCACACTGAAACCTCATGAGCATTGCCAAGCATGCTTGCCCTTGCTTAAGTCTTTATTCATACTCTAATTACTTCTCAGATGAGCAGCACCCCATAGGAATGACTATGCTCAATTCCAACACCTTCAGAAGGTGAAGGGGTCTCCTTTTGCTGCCACCATCATTGGGAGGTTATTTATCAATAAAGCCAATTAAGTGTGTTCCAAATGGTCTTCAGAGATCTTTCTCTCTTCTGTACATTTTATATCCACATCCCAAATGACTTTTTAATCTTCCAGCGTGACCTCCTGTCAGCAGTTTCTCACAGCAGATAGTCTACTTGGTACTGGGAATTGGATCTCTTGGATACTAATTCCAGCTTTGCCACCAATTTACTCTGTAGGGTTGATCAACTCATGTCTTAATTATTTCTGGCTATAAAAATAAGGTCAGGTAGGATTTTTAAAGCTTTTTAAAGTAAAATCAAGAGGATGCTCTAGTGGGAGAAGTTCAATAAGTTGGTGGACAAAACAGCTTGAGCTGAGCAGTGAGAAACACTCGCAAGCCAGGATCACAGCCTTTACTTTGCAATTTTGCCTTAGCTGCAAGGAGATATGAGAAATACTGGGATGCATTGGCACACATGACCGGCTTGCGAGGAGTTTGGCTCTTGTGCTCTGCTAAGCTGAAAGAGCTGCCTTGCCTTCTCAGAGACAGCTGAGCCTCCAAAACCTGGCAGCTGTGTACCCAAAGAACGAACAGCTATCTGATGGTGACAAAACTCAGTGGTGACTACAAGCAATACAGGGTGGAAGACTAAGCTGTGACTGGAAACTATGACAGTGGGATGACTGACTTCCAAATTAGATGTGTGGATACAGAAATACCTGCCAATCCACAGTAAAAGGATTTTGCTATTGTTACTGCCTTCATAAATGCAAGCTCAAGTTCCCCCACACAGATGGACAGCTCAAGGACAAGGCTTTTCACATGCTTAGCCTAAGAGCCCTTTAGCTCATGGTTTAGGTGCCTCTGCTCTAACGCTGGCTAGGACGAACACTAGCTCAGCAGCACCAGAGCTGAACAACTCTGGTCTCTCAGGCAGTCTTGCTCATTTTAGCATGCTCTGAGCTGGGCACTTCTCCTCTTCCTTCCAGCAGGGGAAGTAAGAATGAGTGGCTTACAAACTCCTCAGGTCAGCAGCTGTTAGAAATCCTTATTCCTCATGCATCTTGGTTCCTAGACTAACAAAGTTCTCCTTTTCCTTGGCCAAGAAACATTGCTGGTGAGCAGCTTTCCAACCTGACCAGTCAGTCTCCTCTGATCCAAGAGCACTCAACACAGGATGAGTGTAAAGCAGAGTAGGAATTCAAAGGGAAGACCTGCTAAAACTCATTGTGAGAGGCTAACAGAAGCAAAAATTGAAAAGATGGGCTTAAACTCTAAGATATGAAGATCACAGCAGCACTTTTGAAGCAGTGAAGAGAAACATTTGTGTCAGGGCTACAAAGATGATCAAGGGAGTGGAGCATCTCCCTTATGAGGAGCGGCTGAGGGAGCTGGGGCTCTTTAGTTTGCAGAAGAGGAGACTGAGGGGAGACCTCATTCATGGTTATAAATATTTAAAGGGTGAGTGTCACGAGGATGGAGCCAGGCTCTTCTCGGTGACAAACAATGATAGGACAAGGGGTAACGGACACAAGCTGGAACACAGGAGGTTCCACTTAAATTTGAGAAGAAACTTCTTCTCAGTGAGGGTGACAGAGCACTGGAACAGGCTGCCCAGAGAGGTTGTGGAGTCTCCTTCTCTGGAGACATTCAAAACCCGCCTGGACGCCTTCCTGTGCAACCTCATCTAGGTGTTCCTGCTCCGGCAGGGGGATTGGACTAGATGATCTTTTGAAGTCCCTTCCAATCCCTAACGTTCTGTGATTCTGTGTGATTCTGTGATTCTGTGAACAAATAGCTCTGGGGCAAACCAAAGGGTTGGGAAAGAGAGAACTGTTTGCTTCAGAGAGGGAAAGATGTGTTTCCATTGCTTCTGTCTGGTGATGAATAGAATCACAAAAGATGAGAACATGAGAAAAAGAAGTATACTTGTAGTCAAGTCCTATGTTGACCTTTATCACCCTTTCTTGCCCTGACCAACTTGAGAGAAAAAAAACACCATCTGTTCTTATGGTCCTGGGAGCTTGCAGAAACACTTCAAAGAGTAACAGAGATAAGCTATAAACTATCTCAGCAAAAAATTAGCTTGCAGATCAAATTCCTTCACAAATGCTAATGCCTGGTGATCCAGGAGAGGCAAGACTTGCAGCTAGAGCTAGTGTCTTCTACTAAGCAAAATGACACACTGACACAGTGAAAGAAAAAAAAAGCCAAGGGAAAGCCACCTCTCCTTTGTATCAGAAACAAAGCAGAAAATTTGAGGGGAATTGTATGAAAACCATCTTGCATAAACTGAAATGAGAACCAAAAGACATGACACTGCAGAGCTTCTAAGCATTTACAGAGAAAGATTTTGACAAATCTGGTTTAGAACACAAAAATTGACAGCACCTTCTAGTGCATCTTTGAAAATCAATGCACTCAGAAAAAGGTATTTTGTAAAGGACAAAACAACCCAGTCGCATAAAACCTTTGTGTTGCATGTTAAAAACCTGCAAATCAGTAACAACGAGCAGGCACAGCAATTAAAAGTACAGGCAGTAAATGGTGTCATTTTCTTTTTTACAAATAGTTGACCTTAAAGACAGTGAGGTGCTGCCTCTGCTGTGCTGTGTTGGTGCTCTCTTCTCTCCCTTTTCCCTGGTTTCTGGAGATGCTTCAGCTATGGCCACACACTGCCGCACCAGCCTTTACCTCTTAAATGGTCTAAATTATCTTGGGCATAGGCTCTGCTGATAGGGCTGGTTTGCTTCTGAGCCCGCAGCAGGCGCTGTCATTATCCCTGGGGACTGCATGAGCCATGTCTGCGCTCTGCACCTCACTACAGGGCCTGCTGTCAGCCCTGCTCCCCAGACATGAGCAGGGGTGAGCAGCAGCTCTGTAGCCTGGGCCACAGGCTGCAGCTTCAGACTGCAGCCCTGAAGTGCACACTGGAGATACCCTGAGATATAGAGCATGCAGAAACAAAACCATTTTCTTGACCTTTGGTCACATCCATCCATCCATCTCATGGACCACATCTGCACTGCGCTATTTCTGCCAATTGATTTTGCCTCAGAGAGTAAAAAAATTCACCCTCCACCACCTCCAGACGCCCTGGGCACTGGCAATATCCCCAGGTTGGAGAGAATGATGCTGGCAAAGAGCAGATCTGTTGGCTGGCCTCACATTTCGCAGACAACTGGCCCTTGCACTGCATCAGATGCCTGGGTGGCACAGCGGGGGCTGCAGCATGTCAGAGCCCGCTGGCACAGATTGCAGAGCACACCTAAGTGCAGCAGATGCTCGCATGAGAAAAGCCCTCGCAAATGTGCTGAGCAATGGGTAAGAGTTGCAGCTGGAAGAAACAGAACTGTATCTGCTGCTCACTGAATGCAAAATAGGAAAAGGCCAGGTGAAGGCATTATTGCCATAATCCAGAGCAGGATGTTCTGCTGCCATATGAAAGGTGCCCGTAGGTGAGTTACACTGTTTGTTCACTACAGCTGTTAAAAATAAGATGAAAGTAGCTGCATGTGAGAGTATTCCTACCTACATACAGAAAGCAAAGCAGGGAGGAACAATTGGCATGTACAATCTATGAGATTTAGACTGAAGAGTGGAGCACCAATCAGGGAATCTGGAGTGTATCACCTGCTTGATGTTTAGGCTACGTGTTGCGTGGTCCCTATCACTTCACTGTACTGCCCTTTAACCAGCATTGCAAATCATGATCGACAGGACTCTGATGGCCTTACCTGTGTTGAGCAGATTCTTGTTCAACCCTTGGTTTCATATAAAGTGACTACAATAGGTGGATTGGGGAGCAAGTATTTGTGGAGAGCATTGATAGTCTTAATACTTGTGTTGTAAAACACCTGGAAACATGCGAAGATAAGACATGGCAATGTAATGAACCATTATGTAGAAATACCAATAGAAATAATAGTGAGGAAAAGCAGTGAAGATGGTCAGGAATATATTTTCCCAGCCATAAGTTCGTCACCAGTGTGTTCATGTTGGAGTGTTCGATATATTTCATTAGCTAAATCCATTTGGTACTGGCATGGTCTACTCCTCAAAGGGAACAGGTAGAGACTGACCTGGTCCTGATGCTGCAATTTGACTTGCTCCAGCTGCAGCCTGTGTTGCTCCTGCAGGCTCTCCCTCTTGGTGTTGTATTCCTCCTGCAGCCGCTGCTCCAGTGCCTGCAGCTCCTCCTGCTGCTGCCTGCGAAGCTGCTTTACCTCCTCCTCAAAGCACCTCTCCAGCTCCTCCTTCTCGCTCTGTAGTTTCTTCCATCTCGCTGTGTTGAGGTCTGTGGAGACAAGACCATACAGGCAGGGTCTCAACCCCTCATGGGCAAATGGTGGCATCAGATCTTTTAGTACAGCAGTGAGCATAGTGGTTCTCGTCAACACTGGAGCTCCCATGAATATCAGCCATCAACAAGTGCTTGCTGTCACTTCTCTCTCTGTCCTTCTCTCTCATAAACATATACATGTGCATTTGTTTAAATAGAGGCACTGGCAGAGTTTGTAGAAGCCTATGAAAAACTGGGATATTATTGTTGTTGTTGTTATTATTATTAACAATAAGAATAGTAGTATTAGTAGTAGTAGCAGCAGCAGCAGCAGCAGCAGCAGCAGCAGCAGGGAACTCCATGGACTTGAAGGGTAACTGGATGTCCCTTCTTGACCAGCACAGTCTTGGATCCACAAATCAAGGCTTTGGGGCTTTTGCTTTTACTTGGATATAAAAAACAGCATGTGAGACAATCACCTGATAGAAAGCCTTTCAACCGGGACACAAGATTTTTCTCACCTCCTTCTCTCAAGCCACAGTCGTGGCTAAGTCCTCACTTCCAGCTATGTGCCAGGAAGGCAGAAGCTGCCTGGGCTCTCAAGGCACATCCTTCACACGTGCTTGCAGGGGGTGTGATTGATCACTTGACCAGGAGGAGATGCATCTCACACATGTCATTTTCCAGCTGTTAGAAGCTGCTCACCCCATAAAACTGTCTTTCTCACCAGCAACATCGAGTACCTCTTGAATCCATTAAGGCACACTTGCTTGAAATATTTTTAGATTCAAGTCACTATCTTGTGTGCTTCATGGAATCAGAGGACGCAAATGAGAGGCTGGTACTGAAGGCAATCTGAAAATATGAAAGCTTTATTTTTCTGAACTAACTGAGTGACCACGTCTGAATTCACAACCATGTCTACAATTAGTTTCAAGAGGTGCAACTCTGACAGTTCCATGAAGTCAGGAATGTTCAGGCTATTTCCTCATGTGGTTCTTCACCTATATTGTTCACTGGGTCCCAGAACAGCAGTGTCATGAACACTGCACCCCTGGCCTTTTGCTGAAGAATAATTGCAAACAATTCAGATATTGAAGACCTAATGTAATTTGGACAAAGTCAGCCAGATTACATTTAGTGAGCAACTTTGCTCACTTGAAAAGATCTAACAGATGGCAAGTGACTAAAACCACCATTCAAAACAACACTAGAGAAGAAGAAATATGTTTTTAATGGCAATGCTAGACCTTCTTTCTTATTTAGACCCATAGCTAGTTTAGAAAAATTAACACCTTTTGAATATACCGTCTGTATTAGCCACTCATTCTTCCTTTGCCTTTCAAAATGCACGCGCCACTCACAGACCTGTATGGCATTGTAAAGCAGTGAATTGGAAGAAGCTATCTGATGTCAAATGATAGGACAAGGGGCAATGGGAGCAAGCTGGAGCATAGGAGGTTCCATGTGAACGTGAGGAAAAACTTTTTACTGTAAGGGTGACAGAGCACTGGACCAGGCTGCCCAGAGAGGTTATGGAGTCTCCTTCTCTGGAGACATTCAAAACCCACCTGGACACGTTCCTGTGTGACCTAGTCTAGGTGATCCTGCTCTGGCAGGGAGGTTGGACTGGATGATCTTTCGAGGTCCCTTCCAACTCCTAATATTCTGTGATTCTGTGTTTCTTTGATTCTGTGATCTCCCTTGGTAGACAACTTCTGAATGTTTCAAAAACATATTTATCCTATGACCATATATTTGCTCAACATCTGGCAAACCCCCTCCCATGTTTTCCTGTCTCTTCCTACTGTGGTGTCAGACTATGCTCATTTTTTTCAGGATAGTAACAATTTATCAAAGTCAACTACTGCTGTGACCACAGGTCATGTTAGTTGTATCCATGTAAGGTGGTTTGGGCACCCAAGCTATCCATCCCCTTCCCCACACAGTGATTTTTCACCCTGTTTGGAGCTCTGCTTTCACACTTACTGGACAACAATCTCCAGACTTGCTCAGGATGCCCAGACAGATGTCACTACTGGGGTTCTGCTCTGATCCTGATGTTTTCCGGAGCACTGAGAGGGACTTTCAAGCTCTCTGTTCCTTACAGAAAGAGTGAAAGTGAGCCTGAACCTGTGCACTTAGCACTGCAGCAGCAGCACATAAAAAGCTTTCCCACCTGCCTTATACCCAAAATAAACAGCCCAGTTTATAAGGTCATTAGCTGAAATATCTTGTCTCCTGGTGGTTTGGATTATAGGTCTAAACCCTTTTTCTTGCTTTTTACTTCTTGATTTTCTTTGGCATGCAAAGCAATCCCAGAGCTGGAGGACAAGGGGTAACTCTTGCAGCTTTGTGTTCAGTAGAATTCAAATTTACTTAAGCTTTAAATTGGAGCTGTAATGAACCCTGTCTCTCTTCAGCCTCTCTAATGAGATTACCCAGCACACAGGGAGGGCTGGGCAATGAAATGACATGCTCTAAACAAATGAAAGTTCATCTGAAACAGTATCTGTAGCCTAAAACACAAAACTCTTTGCATCTTGCAAATCAAACCCTGATGCAGGTGCAAAATGGAGGGAAGAGGAAAGCAGGGAAGGAGTGTCTTCATGGCACATTTTCCAGACACCCAACAATGTTATTTGAGGCAGAAAATGAGGCCATTGCCCAGGAAATATGCCCTATATTGAATATCAGACACCTCTGACAAGAAGGAGTGATCCCTACCAGAGTGCTCCAGAATAAGACAAATGAGACCAAGAACTCAAGTGGTGAGGAAAGACTGAATCTCTTCTTAGACAGGAGATGGACATTTAGGCCTGGCTCTACTGGGATGGGAGTAGCAGAAGGTGACATCTGTGCAGTCCAGTACAAGGTTTGTGGCTCCCTTACCCATCTGGGGAGCAGGAACCAGCATGGGAGAGCTTGCCTTGCTGGAGCCAGCGGTCAACCAGCTGTAACTTCAGCAGGGGGTTCTGGTGAACCAGTCTGGGTTACCTCCTGCAAGGCCCCAACAACAGATGCCCAAACAGAATCATAGAATCATAGAATGTGATGTGTTGGAAGGGAACTTTAGAGGTCATCCAGTCCAACACCCCTGCACTGAGCAGGGTCAATGTTACCAGATCAGGTTGCTCAGAGCCCCGTCAAGCCTGACCTTGAATATCTCCAGGGATAGGGCCTCCACTACCTCATTGGGCAACCTGTGTCAGTGTTTCACCACCCTCATGGTGAAAAACTTCTTCCTAATGTCTAGTCTAAATCTGCCCTGCTCTAGTTTAAAACCATTGGCCCTTGATCTGTCGCTACACGCCCTTGTAAGCAGTCCCTCCCAAGCTTTCTTGTACGCCCCTTCAGGAAAGTCTATAAGGTCCCCCTGGAGCCTTCTCTTCTCCAGGCTGAACAACCTCAACCCTCTCAGCCGGTCCTCGTAGGGGAGGTGCTCCAGCTCTCTGATAATTTTTGTGGCCCTGTTCTGGACCCACTCCGTCATTTCCACGTCCTTGAGGGCTCCAAAGCTGGACACAGTACTTCAGGTGAGGTTTTATCAGAGCAGAGTAGAGGGGCAGAATCACCTCTGTCGTCCTGCTGATCACACTTCTTGTGATGCAGCCCAGGATGCGGTTGGCCTTCTGGGCTGCAAGTGCACGTTGCCAGCTCATGTCCAGCTTTTTGTCCACCAGTACCCCCAAGTCCTTTTCCACAGGGCTGCTCTCTATCACCTGCTAATGTTGCTGGAGAAGACTGAATTTTGCTTTCAGCCATTAGAATATGGATACTGTAATAGTGAGCTCCTCTTGCAGAAAAAAAGAAATAATAATCACTAAGAAAACTTATATAAATATATTACTGACATGAGACAGGACAAGCAGAGCCCAACTGCTCTCAGCTGCCATCGAGAGGAGTTATAACCCGGTTTTTATTTTTCCTTCTCTGTAGGTATTTTAATTGATGCTTACAGGTTGGAAATGATAGATATAACATGGCATTTCCTGGGATAACAGCATGCTGGGTTAAATGACAGTGGCTGCCCTTGCTTCCCTACTCCCTGAGCATCGAGTGGCTTTTACAGTGTGCAACAGATGAGCAAAACCCATTTCAGGCTGGGTTGGGAGGGTGAGGGAAAGGGAAATGTCACTAAGGATATGATCCTCTCGCACAAACTCTCTGCAGCCCAGCCTCCCCAGCCCTGGCACTCTGCATTTGGGAGGGTAACTCCTGTGGGAACAGGAGGGCTGGCGTCATGTGGCCTTGCACAGGGACCATCAGCTTCTGACATAAGAAATGGGCTCTTTGCCCAAAAGTGATGGCAAGCTCTGAGTACTCTGCTCTTCCTCCTGAACCTTGGCTGCAGATTCATAGACAAATCACAGCCACCTCACTCAGGTTAATGGTCCTCCAACCAGGAGACATATCCAAGAGCAAGCAGCACACAGGCTTTGGCTTTCAAATTCTCAAGAATATAGATAATACAAATTTAAAACTTGACATCTGATCAACTTGCATTCATCTATGTTTCTATGCATCTCCATCCCTCCTCTCAATCCACTTCACATGTAATTTGTCTGACAGCAAAGCAGCAGGTAATTCTGAAATTTAATTTCCATTAGTTTGAAGGGAAACAGCTGGTGTTCAAAATCTCTTTATTCCAGGAGTCTCCATGTTGCAGCTGAAATGTGCTTATATTTATAATTTATAAAGATGGATGTCTTCAGTGTAGGACGATTGCTTGTCATGTTTTTCTAGCTTTGGTATTTCTAGCAAAACACATGAGCGAATATTATTACGTAAAATAACAAGTCCCTCAGCGTTTATAGAGGCCACATTCGTCCTCAGGGCTGTAAAGGGAGAAGCACTTTCCTATGTCACTGCATGCTGGTTTCAGGCGAAGTGTGATACTTCATAGCAGTGCTGGGGGTAAAGGTGGACCTAAATATTTTGCCTGACTCCTGAAGGGTGTAGGTCTCCACAGGCTGTTTTACACATGTTCCATCACTGTTACTGCTTCAGCAGTGGTTTTACCGAAAGAGATTTCCTTAAAAATATATTCTGACTTTTCTGAACAGTGGATTATATTTTACAGTTTAATTGCTTTGTATAGCAGAATCCTGCAGTTTCTGTTGAAGTTAACAAAGACTTGTGCTTTCAAAACCGAGCACATTCAGCACCTAGATCATAATTCTGAATTAGAGTTATTGTCTGAACAGCTAAATGTTGGATACACTGCCTGTATCAACCTTGGCTAGCCCAGCCTTGTTTTACTGATTCATCCAGTCATTTGCATCAATGAGTCTGACATGGTGAATTTACACATGAGAAATCAGGAATTTCTGATCAACACTCATGCTATTTAACTGGACTGGTTATTTTTAAATTAATGAGAGACTACTTATCAAAGTGACAGAGACAAGTCAGAACTACCACTTGTACCTCACTTTCCTTCCCATGATACTGCCACTTGCAAAAGCATTAATGAAAATGAGCAGACCCAACCCACTAGAAAGAGGTAGGGCTTTCAAATGAGAAGTGGATATTCAATTGAGAGCTTCTGATGTGCCCTGCCTAAAGAATGCACCAGTGGCAACAACTCCTCTGTGAGAGCTGTGAGGATGCAAAGGCTGGCATCAGGGAATAACTACACATGCTGTTTTGCTACTGCTGCAATATCCTTTGGCCTTGGGAACAACAAAGGTCTCTATGAAATGATGATCAGCCGAAAAATTTCAGATAGGCACAGTGGAGAGCACAAGCTGTTTGGCATCAGAAAAGTGCTGTGCTCAGCTTTTCTGCCATGTGGTGTCATAGGCAAGGTGAAGATGAAGCACAGGGAGGATCTGCAGTTCTGTCCATCTCATGGGAGTTTGGCCTGAGCCGCCCTTTGTGGACCAAGTCACCCTCCCACCATGTGACAATATCTGTGCTTAATGTGTGCCCAGCACCTGCGCTCCCACATGCAGGGAAAGCAGAGAGGTCCCCCTGTCCAGAGCTCCAGCCATCAGTGGTTCCAACACCTTTGGGTGCTCAAGGTGTTCTCAGGATTTATGAAGAACAATTTGTCTAGTAAAGGGGATGCACAGTATGTGTGGTGAGGGACTCATCTCCACATCAAAGAGGTAAAATCACGGTTCCCTGCAAAGCCACAAAACCCCTTGCTGCTGGACTTCAGAAGACATCTCGTCACATGTATGCAGGTACCCCAAGATCAGCTCACAGGGAATAACTGCTTTTGTGTAAAGCTAGAAAATAACTTTGTTGTTACTCTGCTTATACTACTTACCAACTTCATCCCTGATCTTTGCAAGCTCGACTCCTAACTCCTTTATTTTCACAAGGGCATTTTCATTCTGTTTAACGAAAAAGAGAGATAAATACGTATAGACCTCAGGTTTATCCCAGATAAACACTTTCACATGTTCATTTAGTAAAGCAGATTAGATTAATTCCTCAGATTTTTTTCTTTTTTTCTTTTTATTGTGAAGGATTATAATGAACTCATTCAGTTTGTAAATCAAGCTTACACTGGCTACAGATACCTTGTATCTCCATGAATATATGTACACACACTCAGGTGCACAGAACAGCACAAAATACTCTATTTACTCACATTTATCTAAAAAGGCTTTTGTATTTTTCTATCATTTTGTGTTCAATCTGTTTATCATTTATGGATGGACTGCATGTACAAGATGGTTTTATTAATTCTGTTATACCATCTTCATCTATTTATGCCTGCATTTAACCACCTCTAAACATAGTAATATGTTCACTCAGTCAGATTTGCAGAGCAGGTTACTGTATTTACACCATTCTAGGCATGGTGGGCATACCCACTGAGACACCACTAATGGCTGATGTAAATGTCTATTTCCACATTTATTTCTGGTATTTTATTGTTTGTAAAGAACAAGAGCTCCTTTCCTCAACCTGTCTCAAAAGAAATCTGAATACTTAAGGAATTAAAACAGATGAGCTGGCCAAAGGAAAAGGGAAACATATTTACATTAACAATGCTAAGGTGTTATTACTAAAGCGCAAGGCCTTTGCCAGCAGACGTCTCATGAGTGCTGTGCAAACCGACAAAGAAAAGCCTCGGGAAAATCTACTGGAGTTTGGTTTAGTACAATAAATCCCAGCATAATGGTTCAAGCACAAGGGCACTTTAAATTAGAATGTATCCTGAATCACATTAGGAAGAAGACAAAGAAATTTATCCTGCTGGGAAGATCACTAATGATTAGGAAAACTAGATCAGGCTTCTATAAATATGTGCCAGGTTAGAAAAGGCCAAGAATCTCTAAATGACACTACAGAAAAATTATATTCAAGAGAAAAGGCAGTGTAGTAGCAAATAGAATTAAAAGGAGTCCTAGAAAGTAAATATTTCAGTAATAAGCAAGCAAGGCTAATAAAAACCTAGGGCATAGAAAGGATTAGTTCAGCAGCAGAATACAGAGCAAATAGGATAGCAAATAAGTTCTGTCTTACCAAAACAAAAGCTGGAAAAAAAAATTATTTCAGAGCTTAATGTTTGTGCTTATTTTTCCTGCGTCTAATGCTCAATTCTGTTAAGAGAAATAACACAACAGCTTTTTTTTTATAATACCAGGAAACTGGAATCTGAAATTTAAATCCCTTATGCACTGTTTTTTGGGGATGATTTCTGCCAGATCCAAGGGACACACTTTCTGGGAAGTTTTGCTGTAAGCAGTGATTAACTGAGCTGATTTGAGAGCCTTGGGTGCCCGTGGAGACCCAGGTGATGTGGACATCTTTCTTACTCAGCTATGAGAAGAAGCCAGACACGCAAGGCTGAGCTCCTCCAGACAGCCAGCTCCATACATTGCTGAGTAATGCACAGGGGGTGTGCGTCAGGACTGCAGAGTCCCCAGTCCTGACCGACTGCATTAGGCTCAGAGTAAAATAGAGTGGGTTGTTCTGTGCTGGGGTTAGTTTAAAAAAAATAAATAAAAAGCTATGAAAAAAAAAGGTGTAGATAAATACAGCCTGGTATGTTAAAAAAGCAGAACCTTCACACAGATTCCTAAACCACCAGTCTTACAGAGATAAGGTTTCCCCTTTTGGAGAATATCACTGTGTCTGCCTATACTGTCTGCTGAACTCACTGGAGTAATTTTGAGAAGTGTTCTTGACAGATCGCCAGGACTGGTGCCCTTGAAGGAATGTGCACAAAAACAATTTAAAGCAAGGGAGCTCTGTACAAATCACTGCCAGCACCTACAGACAAGCACAGCTCTGTGGGATTGTCACTATTCTACTTATATGAAGGAAATGAAAAGCAAGTAAAAAAATAATATCCTAGGAAATAAAAAGATGTTAAAATTTTGATCCCCCATAAGAAATTTTACAGACTCCTTTTTTTACATTATGTTTTATCTTAGATGAGGTTTATCCTACCCTTGAGGACACTTGGTGGTGAGACTTTCCCCAAAAGAACGGAGAATCGCCATGCTGCCAGCTTACAAATGCTATCCTGTAACTCAGACTCCAGCATGGACACCACTCCACCAGGTCAGCGGACCTCCTGGTTGCCTCCCACCATGCTGAGGCTGCGGTTTCCAGAGCCTCTGGGGCTATCTCAAGCATTGCTGTTGGCACATCTCAGGTGCCTTCGCTGTCATCTTCCCGCCCTGTCAATACTTCTTGCATTGTATTTCATTATTTAGCTTGTATTTCATTTTGGTTAGAGCTTTCTGACTGCTCTTCGGGACCTCATATTTATGTTTGCTGGGAGGTCAGATATGCAAAGGTTGCCCTCAGTGCCAAGGTCTCAGCTAGTCCCTCAGAAGGTTCTCTTAGAGAGCAACAGCACAAGTACTTATCTTCCTCTTCTGCAAGAGAGGAAAGGTGCAGTTTTGGCTAATCATCATATCAGCCTCGTGGCCTCCTGGATGCTCAGTGAACTTACAAATCCCTGATGTTTTCTGTTACCGTAACCTGCTTTGTCAGTGTAACGTGATAGGTTTGGACTGCACACGTTCCTGCAACCAGTGTGAACACAACATTAATATGAAATGAAAAAGCCTCTCCTTGTTATCATCAATGGGGCTCTGCAGAAAACCAGCACTCCAGTGTCAGTGCAGCTGGGAATGCCAGCGCTTAGGAAATCAAATGTTACAGTAGAGCAAAACTGGATCTGACGTTAGAATGTAAAGCTATCAGGTCCAATGCTGAGATTCATATAGGTCCAATGTCAAAACATCAAAGCAATTAGAAAATTCACAAGCACGCAAGGAAAAATCTGCCAAAACAAATGTATAAGAAACCAAGTTAATGGGATATCCCATTGATTTAATCAATCTTCATTAATATTTATGTCAACAAAGTACTAGAAAGAGAAGACAGGGCAAGCAGGAACCTTCGCTGCCCTCCCAAGAGTTTTGTGTCCATCAGGCTCAGCATATCATAGAATCATAGAATCATAGAATGCCAGGTTGGAAGGGCTGACAAGGTTCATCTAGTCCAGCCTCTCAAGGTAAAAGTATAGTTTAAATGAGATGAGTCAGCACCCTGTCAAGCTGACTCTTAAAACTGACCAATGTAGGGGAATTCACCACTTCCCCTGGGAGATTGTTCCAGTGTCTGATTGATCACATGGTAAAAAAGCCAAGCAACTTGTGTTCACTACCACTCGTCTTCTTCATGTGACTCCTTGTGAAAAAGGAGTCTCCATCTTCTTGGTAGCCACCCTTTACATACTGGTACATCGAGATAAGGCCCCCTCTAAGCCTTCTCTTCCCAAGGCTGAACAGGCCCATTTTTCTCAGCTTTTCTTCATTCAGCAGGTCTCCCAGTCCTCTGGTCATCGTCGTGGCCCTTCTCTGTACCCTTTCCAACCTGTCCGCATCTTTTTTGTATAGCAGGGACCAAAATTTGACACAGTACTCAAAGTGTGGTCTGACCAGTGCAAAGGAGCTTTGTAGGTATCCTTTACTAGGCATAGGTTGGAGTCAAGCCATTGAGGGTGAGTGACTAAGGGCCAAATCCAACTCAGGTTTAAAAAGGCTCAACAAACATACCAGTGACACAGCCATTTCCAGTGGGTGAAAAGATCAGAGACTCTGTAAGGAGATTGTGCAAATATCCAGAGTTTCAGTGTAGCAGTTAAATGGCAAAAGAGAAAAAAAAAGCTTCAATGCTATTTGGGATTATTTTTCCTGGCCAAAATATAAAAGCAAAACAGTGAGTTTTTTACAAATTAAAATGCTGCATTAATTTTTCAGTTACTTTTAATGAATGATGGATTTCACTATTGCTTGGAAAACTGATGAGAAAGATCTTCCATTGGCTGCACCCCAAGAAATGACCCTGATACTGAAGTAATTTTCATAAAATAAAATTACACTCATGATGGAACTGAAGGAAACCTTCCTCATTCCTGTACTCTACAACACAATGATTAAGTCTTATGTCTGGAATATGTCCCATCTCCTTAGACAGAAGGAAAAATAGAGTAGCACAGGTAGAATTATATGTTTGCTCTGTGCTTAAATTACTGCTCTGTTGAATAGAAGACACAGGAGCGACTCTTTTTCCTATCATCAGCTTTATAACATAAGACCTCCCAATACCTCTCCCATGAAAGGCTTAATGTCGGACTGCATTTCAGCAAGTGAAGCAGTCATTGAAAATGGCATTTATGTGTTCTCCATTTAACTCAAAACTCTCTCAAGATAGACTGAGGTAAGACTATATTGGTGCAACATGCAAGCATCTCCAGAAAAACTGGCAGGTAGTCAGGCAGGTAGGCAGAGAGGTAGGAAGGAAGGAGGAATTTGTCCAATTAAATAACAGTGGACAAAAATTAGGAGTGTCGTTCATAAAAGTATCTGCAGGATTCAGATATAACTGTGTGTGAGGACCTGAAAAAAACACTTGGTAAAATGCCATGATACAGGCCTGAGGATGGGCAAGATGCTGGTGCTGTCCAGACAAAGAAGACAAGTAATGGTGATGGCCTGGAGGTAGAGGCTGGATGGGCCTCTGAACAACCTGGTCTAGTTGGGTATGTCCCAGCTCATGGCAGAGGAGTTGGACCTAAATGCCCTTTAAAGGTACCTTCCAACCCAAACCATTCTGTGATTCTATGACAGGCTCTGCTTTAGCTACACGGAGCTTCAGCTGACAGATAGACCTCCTGGAGGAGACATCCTCAGGGAGACAGGTCAAGATTTTACTTTGGACCAGGAATAATTGTGGGATGGGGAGGTAGAACTGAGCTTTGCTTTAGAGTATCTCTCCTCTGAGAACTGCAAACTCCTGAGAGATAATAATTCATTAGAAATGTTAATTAATTAAACCCCCAGGTACTTTTTAACAATAGGTA